GGCCTGATGTAGCCCTGTAACTGGGTGTACTTCACCGCCAATGCCACCTCCTGCTGGACACAATGGGAATTAGCTTTTTGGTGCTGGAGCGCCCCCTTCTGGCCCATGTCTCAACCTCAGTTAACTATTTTCTTCTCCTCTGGGTACTGCCCTATCACAGGAGTGCCTCACACTCCGGGGTCCTCCTCCTCTGAAAACCCCCAATCCCCTATGCCCACCTTGCCTCAGTGACCCACTGCCAGTTATCCTCTAGCTCCTTACCTCAGGGGCAAAGTGCAGTCTGAAATGGCCTCTCGTCACTAGCAAGGGGGTGTGGACCTGCTGCCTTTGCCTACCCTGTCTGCCTCTCGGCAACCTTTGTACCCTCAGGTCTTGCTTCAGGCCCTGCAGCCTGGGAGCTTGGCTGGCCTGAACTTCCCCAGCTCTGCCTGCCTTTCCCCAGCCCTTCTCTAACTACAGCCCTAGGCTATGTCTACACTCGCGGCTTCTTGCGCGAGTAATATTCAAATGAGGCTAAGCGTGGAATATCGCTGAGCCTCATTTGCATACCTAATGAGCCACCATTTTTTTCAGAAGAGGCTCTTGCACAAGAAGGAGCATCTACACTGCCCCTTCTTGCGCAAGAAAAACCCTCTTGTGCAATGCTGTTCTTCCTCTCAAGTAATAGGTGTAACGGCGTTGTGCGGGTCAGGCCAAAGCTTCTTCAGCCCTGCCTGCCTCTTCGCAGCCCTACTCTGTATCAGGAAGTCTCCAGCTTCCCTGGCAGACAGGTCCCTTCTACTTCCCAACCAGAGCAAGGGTCTGCCTGCATCACCTCCCCTCCTCCAGACTTTACTTATACTCCCCTCAGCTGGGTCTTACTTGGCTGGTACTTGCCTCAGCTGTGGGGCTTTGCTCTCAGCCCTCTCCCAAGGCTGGGTTTTACTTTTAAAGGGCCAGTGCGGGGCAGGCACCCCCTCACAAGCCCCCATTGCTGAATATGTACAATCTCTTCCAGAATACTGCGAGTGCTGAAGCTGCACTGAAAAGACATTTTCCAGGTGACTGATTCGGAGGAATTTCAGAAGCTAGTTTTAACAAAGCCGTGCAAGTCCTTTCTGTGAGGTATCACCTGACACTGCCACTTATCAGCCCACTGTTGCTTGGTACCCAGCACCGCATACGCACTTGCAATACGGTCAGCGGAATAATGGGCAACAATGTCTGAAGGCTTCAGAGCCCAGCGGCAAGTCCCCACTTCAAGCAGAAAATCTGAGTGTGATGAGCTTCAACCTTTGGAAAGTTCTGTGCCACCACACGGCTTCATACAGGGAAACGCTTCTTGGGTGCGTCTACACTGTACAGAGGAAGATCGAAGCTGCCGCTGTCAATCTTCCAGGGTTCTAATTAGTGGTCTACTTAAACAACGAGAAGTCCTGTGGCATCTTACAGACTAACAGATGTTTTGGAGCATAAACTTTTGTGGGCAAAGACCCACTTCATCAGATGCATGCCATTTGGGAATGCAAGAGCTTTGGGAAATGACTCAGCTACCCTGCTATTTAGAAACTATAGGAAGTGTTGATCCTCCAGGTCATTGATTCAATTCCAGACTATGTCAGTAGTATCCTAAAATTGTTAGCATCAGATGGTTGTTCACTGACCAGTCTGAAATGGTGGATTTTGTTGTAGGATCTGTTGGATAGGTCTCTCTCTACACATCTATTTACATAGTCCTTGTGGGCAGCCATACCAAGGATAACAGGACATGGAAACAGTCCTGTCTTGTTTTGATTCTGAGACAGTATGATCTTTACCCCTACTCTAAATTATACTTAAGTGGCATCTTTATTATTGTTCTTTACAGGTATCACGATAGCACCTAGAAAGCTCAGCGCAGATCAAGCCATGTGTCCTATGTGTTGTGCACACACACAATCCCTATCTTAGAATAGTGGTAGAAATGTAGCCGTGTTAGTCTGGTGTAGCTGAAACAAAATACAGGTCTATGTAGCATTTTAAAGACTAACCATCTTGTTAGTCTTTAAAGTGCTACATAGACCTGTATTTTGTTTCAATCCCTATCTTAGACAGCATAAATCTAAAGACACAAGACTACAGGGAAGATGGGGAAACTGAGGCACAGATGGTGAAATCACTTCCTTGGTGTTCCACAATGAGTTTTCTGGCTGAACTGAAAATAGAACTAGGTTTTCCTAGTCCAGTGCCCTGTCCACTAGATAACACTGTCTCTCTAGCAGGCCTGGCCAAAGAATTTGCAGGTTTCAAGGCAGCATGCTAACAGCAGGGCCCGGTAGGTGGATGCTCTAGTTTAAGTGAAACCCAGTTAAGGGGTTACAGAGCCCGGCCCAGACAGCACAAGTCGCTCGCTGAATATATGCCACAACTCCTCTAGACTCAAGAAAAATTTCAACTGGCGTCGATTTCAATGTCATCTGCCATGCTTTTACTGTTCACTCTGACATCATTATACACTACCGTAAAACCTCCAATGGAAGCCCCCTCGCTTTACCACCAATTTCTTGATTAGCAGATGATTAGGAACTTGCCGAAGCGGTGGACTTGGAAATGGATTCAAACTATCCAGCCCTTGTGCAAGATCGCGATCGGGAGCGTTCATCGGGAGGTGGCGGTCATCTCGGTGCAATGCAGAGCCGGCCCCTGTGGGCTTGCACTGTGCTCCCCTTACAGAGCAGCTGGATCCGAGCCCATTGCCTGCAGTCTCCCTAGGTGCACCATCGGCCCCCGCGAGGCAGTGCCCCCAGCCCACAGGCAGCCCCAGGGTGCCTGGCTCACCACCTTTGCAGTGGGCAGGGGGCTAGAGCTAGCTTCCCCTCCTCTCTCCCTGCCATTTTTCCCAGTAGCCCCCCTGGGAAAGCAGCACTTCCAGGTAGGAAATGAAGAGGCCGAGACTGGGGGGCACCACTGTGAGCCCCTGGTCGGAGCAATCAGCCCTGAGGAGCATCCTGTCCTGCTCACACTGACAGAGCACCAGGCGACCCCTCTGGCGTTGCCCTGAGGGGTTTGCCAAGCCCCCCCCACCAGCCCCGAGCAGGCAAAGCAAGAGCAGCGCACTGGCCGGGAAGGGGGTGTCCATGGTGCCAGAGGCCAGGAGGGAGGACAAACTCACCTGGCTCAGCTGCAGCTCAAGAAGTGGCCGCAGCCCCAGCTGCTGCTGCAAGAAAGCTGCCTGCCCTACTGCAGGGAGCAGCATGGGACCCTAAAGGCGTGGGGCCCAAGACAACGGCCTGGCTTGCCTTGCCCAAAAGCCAGGCCTCCTCTCTAGTTTTATATATCAGTTTCTCATACCCATCTTCTCCAGCCAGTATTGCCTCTCAGTCTACAGGTGACCCTGCTGGGGGGAAACTGAGGCACATTGGTAACACAGAATGAATAGCAAAAAAACTGGAAAAGAAACCATAAGATGAGTACTACAGGGATTCTGTGCCTTTAAGAAATGGGCTGCATTTCTGAGTGAGGCGAAAAGTCAGAAATCTTCACATTAATTAACCAAGCAGGGGAGGAAATTTACCAAAAAATGTCTCAGGGAGGGTAAAAGTTGCAGGATGTCATGTTTAGAGACACCACAGAATAAACAGGGAGGTCACTATGTCAATCTCTTGCCCAGCTAAGATGGAAAAGCAGCTGAGTACACAGCCCTACCCCAGGCAATCATGCAAATGGGTAAGAATGGAAATAGTGCTTGACTGAAAACATGATCTGCACCCGTCAAGGAAACGTTTGCTGCCCTGAAACGTCAGCACTGCTGGCGTGTTTTCTGATCATTGTAAATTTAAAACATAGCGGATTAATAATGATGTTCTCTCAGGTCTTCCATCTCAGAATCTCAAAGAACATTAATTAACTCAGACTCAAAAATTCCTTCGGATGTAAGCAAGGGATATTTAAGCACCCCTCACTGAAATGCTGCCACCTCTGGAACAGACCATGATAGCTGTTTAACAACATGGCACAGTAACACACAGTGGGTTAGTGCCAGAAATGAAGAAGCCCTTATCAATCTGAAATTGTAGAGTGACTTTAGGTTAGCATTTGGCAGGGATTAAATTGCAAACTCTCCAGAGAAGGGGCTGTATTTTTTGGTCCATGTTTGGATAGTGCCTAGCACAGTGATCACCTAAACCAGTGTTTCTCAACCAGTGGTACAAGTACCTTTAGGGGTACTGGAGAGAAGTCTGGGGGGGTACATCAACACAACTGAAATCTGGAGAAAACTGAATTTTTGTTTTAAGTTTTACAGCGCTTTCTTATTTTTGTACTTTTTATACCCAAGAATTTCACAGCCCACTCGGCTACAATTAAGTTGTTTAAACAAATGTGTTGCAACGGTAGAAAAAATATTGTTTGTGTGACAACGGTAGGTACTGGGGGTACTTATAATTTTTTTAAAAAGGGGTTACTTTATAAAAAAAGGTTGAGAAACACTGACCTAAATTACAATTTAGGCCTTTAGACATTCCTGCAATATCATTCATAAATAAATACATACATATTCACATTCAGTAATTCCTCATTTAACATCTGCCCGCTTAACACATTTTCACGATAGCACGATTTTTTTTTTAGAGAATGTTTTTTGAATTACACTACCGTCCCCAGAATTACACGATTTCCCCAGCAGGCCCGTTGTCGGTGGTTGTGCAGGGCTTCCCCCACCTCTTCACTGCACCATTCCCTGGCGACTGGGTTACGTACAAGATAGGGACTGTAGGTTTGTTCTTAAGTTGAATTTATATGTAAGTCGGAACTGGTACATATTGTAGGGGAAACTCTAGCCAAACATTTCTCCAGAGCTCAGTTTTATTCTCCCACACCTCACTTCCCTCAGTCCTTTATTCTCAAGCTGAGGTGTCTGCTGAGAAAAGCCGCTCCACGTCTCCCTGGTCTGCTGGGGGGCCGTCTCAGCCCCGCCCCACCCTCTAGCCCCACCCCTCCCACAAATGGAGCCCCTCCCACTCCGCAGCGCCGCGTGCGCTCACCGGCGGTGTGTCGGCGTGCTTGCGTCACGTCCGGGCGAGCGGGAGCCGGAAGTGGGAATGGTTGAGGAGTCGCTAGGCGCCGCGTACATAGAGTTAATATTTAAATATGTAGAGAAAGTGATATGGGATCTTCAATGAGAACAACCTGCCTGCATTCTGATTTTGCATTTAAATGGATTCCTACCAGGGGAATGAAATTGGATTGGTGTATTGTCTGCACAAGAGCTTCTACTGCTTCTGATACCATGAGTGGAGCTGCACCAGTGGAATATATAACAAGAAATCTAGTGTAGATCCATCTTTTGTGAAAAATTCAAAAGCATGTCTCCTCCAATGAGGGCTGAAAAAACTCCATCTGCAGTTCTCTAATCTTCCAATAAAGTTCTTCAGCAAAACCAGGAAAGATAAATCTTGATATTCCTGATATTTAAAGTAAAAACATGAACCAACTAAATCAACTTGTTTCAATTCAGTTTAAAGAAAGTTCAAGCTAAAATGGTTTCTAGTCCTGAGTGGCCAGTTTTGTACACAGGATCAAATAATGATCCCAATCCCATCAACATTTATACATTTCTTAATTTTAAGCACACAAGCATTCCAGTTGAATGTAATTAGTGGAGAACTGAAATATATTTGCATTATATACAGGCAGTCCCCGGGTTCGGTGGTTGTGCAGGGCTTCCCCCACCTCTTCACTGCACCATTCCCTGGCGACTGGGTTACGTACAAGATAGGGACTGTAGGTTTGTTCTTAAGTTGAATTTATATGTAAGTCGGAACTGGTACATATTGTAGGGGAAACTCTAGCCAAACATTTCTCCAGAGCTCAGTTTTATTCTCCCACACCTCACTTCCCTCAGTCCTTTATTCTCAAGCTGAGGTGTCTGCTGAGAAAAGCCACTCCACGTCTCCCTGGTCTGCTGGGGGGAAGCAGCTAGTGCAGGGTTGCCTCACCCCGTTTGTAAGTAGGGATCTGATGTAAGTCGGATCCATGTAACCCGGGGACTGCCTGTATAACCGTTGAGTGGGGTTGCTCACATGCTTACAGTTCAGCACTGGGGGGCTTGTCAGATTGGAATCCATATTCGAGAAGGGTTTAAAATAATTGTCCAAACTAGACAGGGCTATTGTTGGCATGTATCATTCCTAGCAGGATTTATATTTTATACTGTAAATACTAATTATACTAGAGATGGTAACTTATCCCGAAGGCACATTTCACACAAAAATTGACCTCAAGCCATTCTTATCAAAATAAGACAAACAGCATCTCCACGTAGGCACATTTTAAATGTTATGCAAAAATCTTTAAGCTCTCTTCTAATGAGCACACTCCTCTCAATTACTGTCTGGAAGAGCCTTTGGCCTTACCAGTAAAGAGATGTGAAGAAAAACAGACACGTTATCAGATACATTCCAGTCAGGGATACTTTATGCTGTTATCAGCTTGGCCATATCCTGTGATGGGCCCAGTGTTGATGAAAAGACTCACTAAGAGGCCTGTTGGTCCAGGTACAGTGGCTTCATAATAGAAACAAGTAGTCTTGTGGCACCTTAGAGAGAGTGGCTGCATAATAGAAACAAGTAATCTTGTGGCACCTTAGAGACTAACAAAAATATATATAGTATCATGAGCTTTCGTGGGCAAAACCCACTTCATCAGTTGATGGAATGGAGAGGAATAACAGAAATCCAAGAAGCTTCAGGGGGTAGCCGAATTAAAAAACCTAAGTGTCCGTCTACACTGCACACTTATTTCAAAAAAACCTAAGAGTCCGTCTACACTGCACACTTATTTCAAAATAAGCTATTCCAGAATTGTTATTCTGAAACAGCTTATTTCAAAATAGCACCTCTACACTGCAGAGAAGCCTCAAAACTAGTCTGAGGCAGGCTTCCCTAATAGCTATTTCAGAATAGGCATTATTCTTCGTAGAACGAGGTTTACAGATTTCGAAATAAGCTGTCGGTTATTTTGAAATTGTTTCGAAATGACAGAATTGCTGGGTAGACACTTGCATTATTATTTCAAAATAACTGTGCATTGTAGATGAGTATTTTATAGCAGAAAAAAGGTACCTATCAATTGTAGGACAGGTGCTAATGAGGCTAATTATATGGGCTGGAAGTGTCCACTTGAAGGAACCTCAAGAGATCATCTAGTCCAGTCCACAGCACTCAATGAAGCGCTGTGTAATAACTAGACTATTCCTGACAGTTTAAGGAGACACTATAGTGGCAATCCTTGTCTTTCACCGCACTCAATGCAGCGCTGTATAATAACTAGACTATTCCTGACAATAAGTTTAAGGAGGCACTATAGTGGCAATCCTTGTCTTTCACTGTTTTGTTTCTTAGCTCCATTTTAATGACCTGTTAGACTGTGAATGGAATAGAGCTGCAGCCTTTGACATTTACCTGCATGTCTGTTGCATGTGAAACTGTTTAACCTTTTTTACCCAAGAGTGGATTTGTAGATAAACACCAATACCATATGTTCATAAAGAATAAGTAGTAAAACTTCTTAAAAGTGGCCTTTGTGAGGCCTTTATTAAGCTTGCCTGTGGATTTGTGACTGAAAGGTGCTCCAGTCTGTTAATCAACATGCAGAAATAAAACAATGTATTGCCTAAGCATTCGAAAGTGAAAATACAACCCCACAAAAATTACTCACGTGTGAAATGCATTTGTAGGATCAGGCCCAAAGCATGGAGGGTGAAATCCTGGCCCCACAAATGTCAATAGCAAACTTGCATGGACTTCAGCGAGACAAGATTTTTAAACCCGTGGGGTCGCCAGTACTGTATGTGTGTAGTGACCCTGGTGTGAAGTTATAGGGCTGATTCCCAAGTGTAGAGAGTGTTTAAAAGCAGGGCCAACGATTTACGACAGTGCAGTGCTCTGTTAATGCAGATACAGTTGGATGAGCCTGTAGCACCGGCACAGTAAAATAAACACTGCATTTAAAAGAGGCTCTCAGAGGGGTAGCCATGTTAGATTGTAACTGAAACAAAAGTTAAAAAAACAATGAAAAGTCCTGCAGCACCTGAGAGACCTACAAAAATATAGGTGTATCATGAGCTTTTTTGGGCACATCCCACTTCTTCAGATGAATGAAGTAAGGGGTTCAGGGTACAAATCAATAGCAGAGAAAGAGGCAGGGGCGGGGGGGGAAAGAGAAGGAAAAAATAGGAAAAAAATATTGTCAACTAGAGTGTCCATATTAAATGAGGCTAAGAGTGGGCTGTAAGTACCCAGTGCTTAGTTTTTTATGTCATTACAGTGTGGAGGGCTGTGTTGTTTATTTTGATTAGGATGGAGATCTGCACTGGTTCAGTACTCTAGAAAGCTAAATCAATGTTCATTTTGGGGTGCAGCCCCCTAGGGCCCAGCATGTTCCCCACATAAGGGGCAGAAATAGCCACCTAAGCATGACACAGCTGCTCTTCCATACCTAAGCCCCACCACTCCTGACCCTAGTCAACCCACTCCTAGCCAGACTCCCATCATGCCTGGCACAAGCCAGACTCCCATGATGCTTTGCCTTAGCCAGACTTCCATCATGCCTGGCACAAGTCAGACTCCCATGATGCTTTGCCTTAGCCAGACTCCCATCATGCCCGGCACAAGCCCGACTCCCATGATGCTTTGCCTTAGCCAGACTCCCATCATGCCCGGCACAAGCCCGACTCCCATGATGCTTTGCCTTAGCCAGACTCCCATCATGCCCGGCACAAGCCCGACTCCCATGATGCTTTGCCTTAGCCAGACTCCCATCATGCCCGGCACAAGCCCGACTCCCATGATGCTTTGCCTTAGCCAGACTCCCATCATGCCCGGCACAAGCCCGACTCCCATGATGCTTTGCCTTAGCCAGACTCCCATCATGCCCGGCACAAGCCCGACTCCCATGATGCTTTGCCTTAGCCAGACTCCCATCATGCCCGGCACAAGCCCGACTCCCATGATGCTTTGCCTTAGCCAGACTCCCATCATGCCCGGCACAAGCCCGACTCCCATGATGCTTTGCCTTAGCCAGACTCCCATCATGCCCGGCACAAGCCCGACTCCCATGATGCTTTGCCTTAGCCAGACTCCCATCATGCCCGGCACAAGCCCGACTCCCATGATGCTTTGCCTTAGCCAGACTCCCATCATGCCCGGCACAAGCCCGACTCCCATGATGCTTTGCCTTAGCCAGACTCCCATCATGCCCGGCACAAGCCCGACTCCCATGATGCTTTGCCTTAGCCAGACTCCCATCATGCCCGGCACAAGCCCGACTCCCATGATGCTTTGCCTTAGCCAGACTCCCATCATGCCCGGCACAAGCCCGACTCCCATGATGCTTTGCCTTAGCCAGACTCCCATCATGCCCGGCACAAGCCCGACTCCCATGATGCTTTGCCTTAGCCAGACTCCCATCATGCCCGGCACAAGCCCGACTCCCATGATGCTTTGCCTTAGCCAGACTCCCATCATGCCCGGCACAAGCCCGACTCCCATGATGCTTTGCCTTAGCCAGACTCCCATCATGCCAGGCACAAGCCCAATTCCCATGATGCTTTGCCTTAGCCAGACTCCCATCATGCCAGGCACAAGCCCAATTCCCATGATGCTTTGCCTTAGCCAGACTCCCATCATGCCAGGCACAAGCCCAATTCCCATGATGCTTTGCCTTAGCCAGACTCCCATCATGCCAGGCACAAGCCCAATTCCCATGATGCTTTGCCTTAGCCAGACTCCCATCATGCCAGGCACAAGCCCAATTCCCATGATGCTTTGCCTTAGCCAGACTCCCATCATGCCAGGCACAAGCCCAATTCCCATGATGCTTTGCCTTAGCCAGACTCCCATCATGCCAGGCACAAGCCCAATTCCCATGATGCTTTGCCTTAGCCAGACTCCCTGAGGTCTAGGGAGCCAGAGCAGAGGCACTTGGGAGCAAAGTCTTCCGGGGTCTGCCCTGCTTCTGCTATGTGACTCAATAGGTGACCAACCTGGGGCTAGTCACTTCCCCTCTCTGTGGTGGAATGACTGAAGGTTAAATTGTTCTTTGTGAAAATGTTGAGGGTGGA